AAGAAGAAGAAAAAAAAAAACCTAAAAACTAAAAATGTGTAAGAAGAGTGACATCAGTAAGATGGAAAAATAAAAGGTGCCCAGGTACCCTACTGGCTTACTCCCATAGAGCAAGAAAATTTGTCAGCCATCCCAGACAAAAATGCCTTTATGGGAGCCAGGCATCATGGCTCACATCCGTAATAACAACTACATAGTACATTGAGGTTGCAGAATTGCTTCAGGCTAGGATTTTAAGATCAGGCTAGGTTATGTAGCAAGATCCCATCTCAAAAATAAGTGCCTTTGAAAGCTTTGAGATCCAGGGAGGTAGTTGTAAAACTCTCATATAGCCCAAGATTAAGGAGTTGGTTTTTTTTTTCAGAATGCAGGCTCTCATTCAGGTGGCAAACTACAGGACCCCGTTCTTAACTACAGACCAGAAAATGGCCCACCCAACTTGGTCCCACAGAAAATTCTGAACTTACTCTGTAACCATCCCAAACTGCTTCCAGCCACCGTCTATAAGAGATCCTGTTTTTCAAAAGGCCTGGAGGAAGACACCAGTTTATAGCCATGCAGGCCTTTACTATGGACCCTGAAGCAGTTCAGTGACTGTTCCAGCTTCCTGAGCCATAGTTTATGGCCAGTTCTGCCTCCTAGAAACCCACACAGTTACCTGGGGAAATCTTCTCTAGGACTCAGTGAAAGCCATACTCATCCACATCCTGATATAAAGCCCACCATATGCAGACCTAACTACAAAAACCTGCTCTAGTGCCTGCCCTATAGAGCAAAGTCTTGAAGGATATTCCCTCTGTCCAAAAATAAAATGGAAATTACAACTACCCAAGTCCCTTGTAACAAGCCAACTAAAAAAGTGGCCTGTAGTGCAGACTCAGCAGCCTTGTGATCAAGCTATGACACCTCTCCACTACAGGCCAGGAGCAGTGGCTCATGCCTGTAATCCCAGCACTTTGGGAGGCTGAGGTGAACAGATCACTTGAGGTTAGGTGTTTGAGACCAACATGTCAAAACCCTGTCTCTACCAAAAATTCAAAAATTAGCCAGGCATGGTAGTACATGCCTGTAATCCCAGCTACTCGGGAGGCTGAAGGAGGAGAATCGCTTGAACCCGGCAGGTGGAGGTTGCAGTGAGATGAGATCCTGCCACTGCACTCCAGCCTGGGTGATATAGCAAGGCAAGACTCTGTCTTTAAAAA